AGTTTGGTAGGACAGGATTGGCAAATTAAATCCTTAGCGGATTTGAAACAAGAAAATATTGTATATTCCTGGTTTTATTATAATCAATTGTTAATGAGGTGGAGTTTAGATCAGAAGGTTGGTATTACTTTGGAGGATGTGAATTTGATTAAACAGATTAAAGATCCAACCCGAGCACATATAAAGAGAATTTATAATGTCTTGATTGAATTGGATTCTGAAACGGAACTACCGTAGTTAAAGACTGTATGATAAAATGGGCTCAAAATATTCAAGAATCGATTTCATTGGATACATGGGAGATAATTTGGGTTAAAAATGTAAAATTTACTCAACCCCAAAATTTAAGAGAAAATTTTTACAAGATGTTTTATAGGTGGCATTTGGATCCTCAAAAATTGTCATGCATGTATTCTAATTTACAGCCCAAATGTTGGAGATGTGGAAGTTTAGATGCTACTTATTTTCATATCTGGTGGACGTGTAGGGAAATAAAAGCATTTTGGATCAAGGTTTGGTGGAATATTCAAAATATTTTTAAGAAAAAAATAAAGTTCACACCGCAGTTATTTCTATTAGGTATTATGGGAAATTTGGATGCTAAAGAAATGAATCTGATGTTAAATCTTATAACAGCTGCAAGACTATTGGTAGCTCAAAATTGGAAGACGAATCGTTTGCCTACTGTAGAAGAATGGTCTCTTAAAGTGGCAAATTTAGCAGAAATGGCTAAGATTTCTGATTATTTAAAGGATCAAACACAGGAAAGATATATTTCGGTTTGAAGAAGATGGATAGATTATATTCAGAATAAATATGGGACTGAAAAGTTTCATTTGGTGTTTGAGTAAATTTTACAGTATTGTTATTGTGAATATTTTATTATATTTTTTATAGTTTTTATATTTTATTATATTGATATTATTATTTTGAGTAGTAATTTTGTTTAATAATTAAGTTGATTATTTGTTTATTATTGTGTTTAATTTCAAATTATCTAAATTTATTTTAAAAGGGAGTTAAAGTGTGTTATAGATTTGGTTACATAATTAGTTGGATAATGTTATTTAGATTATGATTAATATATTTGTAACCCTGTGAACAGCTCTGGGAAGTGGGGGGGTGGGAGGTTTTGGGGGGTGGGAAGGGGGTTTATTTTGTAAATGTTATAAAACTTTTAATAAAAAAAAGAATGAGATAACTGTTCTTCTGTGAGATACTGATTTGTTGAAAGGTCAGATTTACAGTGCTAAAAGAAAAGTGAATAATAGAAAGAAAAGGAAGTAAAGGGAAGGACCATTTAATTTCTGAATATTTAAGCTAGTAGCTATCATTTTATTTTTGCTTTGACTTGTTTTATTAATTAAAGAACTTTGCAGGGTATACTGGGACTAACTAGTCATTGCCTGTACTTTAAGCATACAGTGTGCCATAGAGAAAAAAATAAATTGAATATTGAAATGAAAGGTGTCCAAAGAAAAACTGCTTAGCTAATTAGTATTTCCTGAGTAGTTTTTATCCTAATATATTAAAGGAGACCAAAGATGCATGTTTTGAGACACTAATATCTTTTTGTGAGAGTCTTTTGAGTATATGAAACTAATCAAAATATATACAGATAAAACTCCTGACTTAATTACCCAATTCTGTTGTTTTTCAGGCTTCCCTCAGCTGTATTTTCACATGTTACATCAGAGAAGAAAAGTACTTTCTGTTACTGAAGAACACAAGAAATCTGAATAACTCCAACTTCTATTTAGAGTTGTGCCCAAATATGTGTGCAAACAGGAACCTACCCAAATATGAACACTCAATCCAAGTTATAAATAATACAGAGTAGTATTTTGAGAAACTCAAAATAAATGCTTGATCAACTGCTCAAATATTACTAAAGTAATCAACAGTAGTAATTTTGGGTAAAATCATTACCCTATGAAATTGCATTTCCGGCATGTCTTGTTATAGTGAAACCTCTTTTTTATTTTTTTTTAAGTGTATCTATAATCCGTTGACTAAAAACTATCATCACATGCCTGATCATAAAGGTCATAGATAAGTAAGTGTGATGCTTAGATTAGGATTAGAATTTTTTCAAAATTTGCATGTCTGACATTGCATCATAACAATATTATCTGGAATGCTTTGGAANAGTCCATGAGTCATAAAAGAGCCGAGGTTGCCTACCCCTGGTCTAGGGTAATGTTTTTGCTTTTCTCTTCTTCACCAGAAACAACAGCTTTGCAAGACTGTTCTCCCTATAGTTTTAGTTGGAGACCCCACTCCCCATCCATGCACAAGCTCCCTTGAGGGTGGCAGAGGAAAGCCACCCTCAAGGGAGCATGAGGGCGCCTTTCCTTTGTGGAAAAGGAAGGGGACAGGCTTTGTGGAAGGTAGGGATTGGCAGAGTGGAATGTAGCATTGGGCCGTGCAGCAGTTTTCAAGAAAAGCACCTCGTGCAAAATACAGCTTTTAGAGAGACCAGTCTGCCCAAGAAAGAAAGACAAACTGCCCAAGAGAGGCCAGCCTTTCTGGCAGCCACAGGGAAATTGCCAAGGAAGCTTAGAGCCCTGCACTGGATGGGAAGGAGCATTTCTGCAGTGGATGACTTGAAGCCTAGTTAGTCGCTGACTTTCCAAAACTCACTCTCTCTTCTCATGAACCTCAAACATTGATGGGAGCAAATGAAAAAAAACAGGCATTGCAGTACAATCCACATCCCTTTTGTGCCTGCCTTATGACTTCCCACACAAGTTTGTACAGCTTGTGATGTCATGACACCATCCATCATTTAAGAAAACCTTCAGTTCTTGCAGATATCTTGTTTTTGTTTGTTTGTTCTCAAATTTATTTGCCACCCATCTAGTGGTTCAGGTGACTCTGAGTGGCTTACATCAGGATAAACGACATATAACAGAAATTATAAATATAAAAGTGAATTAAAATTAAAAAAAAATAAAACAAGCTAAAAACCAGGGATTTGGTGGGGAGAGGTGGGGTGTCTCCTCTATTAGTGTATCAGCCTTACCTCCAACCAGCAGCAGCTTTCTTCAGGATCCAGTGCCAATCAGCAGAGCCAGCTTTTAAGGACTTTTCTGAAGGGTAAAAGAGGCAGATCTTACCTCCTGTGGCAAGATGTTCCAAAGGACAGGAGACGTGGCAAAAAAAGCTCTTTTCTTGGATCCCACCAATTGAAATGCCTTGGCGGATGGGATCTGCAGTAGCCCCTTCTACCAGTACAAGTGGGGTGAGCCAGTCCCATTGGAGAAAGTTGATTCTGCAGATATCCTGGACCCACACCACAATGGTTTTTAACACCTTGAATTGCACCCGGAGGCAGATCAGCAGATGGTACAGCTCACTTAAGAGTGGTGTTGCATGTGCCATCCTAGAGTCCTCTAAAACTGTCTACACTGCTGCATTCTGGACCAATTGTAGCTTCCAAATACTCCTCAAGGGTAGCCCTTAGCAGGGGGTAGCCCCTGCTGGATCAACTTGATTCCACTTCATTCTTCAGAAGCAGTTGGCAGCAAGGTGGGACCTGCACTATGAAGATGTGCCTTTAGTAAACAGTAAGCAGTCCAACTCAGAATCAGGGCCAGGTGGATGAGCCCATTGTCATCTGTTTTCCTGGAATGAGAAAGTAATAATCAGTTTACTGATTGAACTACAAAAGTTGCAAATTTCGTTTTGCTATTACTAGAAGATACCACCTCTGAAAATCTTTTTAAGGAAACTTCAGGGACTTATTCAGGCATTCCCCAGGAGTCAGCACTGGCTCGAAGGCACAAAAGAGGAAGATACAATATTAGACAGCCACCATTTTTATTGTATTGTGCTGTAATTGGAGCATAAATCTTTATCAAAGCAGTGCTTTTTCATAGGAAGAACCAATAACTATTTGAACAAAAACTTTCTGCAGCTGTTACATCAAGAATGAGATAACTCTTCTTCTGTGAGATACTGATTTGTTGAAAGAAGGTCAGATTTACAGTGCCAAAAGAAAAGTGAATAATAGAAAGAAAAGGAAGTAAAGGGAAGGACCATTTAATTTCTGAATATTTAAGCTAGTAGCTATCATTTTATTTTTGCTTTGACTTGTTTTATTAATTAAAAAACTTTGCAGGGTATACTGGGACTAACTAGTCATTGCCTGTACTTTAAGCATACAGTGTGCCATAGAGAAAAAAATAAATTGAATATTGAAATGAAAGGTGTCCAAAGAAAAACTGCTTAGCTAATTAGTATTTCCTGAGTAGTTTTTATCCTAATATATTAAAGGAGACCAAAGATGCATGTTTTGAGACACTAATATCTTTTTGTGAGAGTCTTTTGAGTATATGAAACTAATCAAAATATACACAGATAAAACTCCTGACTTAATTACCCAATTCTGTTGTTTTTCAGGCTTCCCTCAGCTGTATTTTCACATGTTACATCAGAGAAGAAAAGTACTTTCTGTTACTGAAGAACACAAGAAATCTGAATAACTCCAACTTCTATTTAGAGTTGTGCCCAAATATGTGTGCAAACAGGAACCTACCCAAATATGAACACTCAATCCAAGTTATAAATAATACATAGTAGTATTTTGAGAAACTCAAAATAAATGCTTGATCAACTGCTCAAATATTACTAAAGTAATCAACAGTAGTAATTTTGGGTAAAATCATTACCCTATGAAATTGCATTTCCAGCATGTCTTGTTATAGTGAAACCTCTTTTTTATTTTTTTTTAAGTGTATCTATAATCCGTTGACTAAAAACTATCATCACATGCCTGATCATAAAGGTCATAGATAAGTAAGTGTGATGCTTAGATTAGGATTAGAATTTTTTCAAAATTTGCATGTCTGACATTGCATCATAACAATATTATCTGGAATGCTTTGGAA